TAAGCGGCCGGAGACGATGGCTGAAAACCAATACCTTCTCCCCACCTGAGTCGAACAACCCTAACAGATTAAGGAAGAAGTTTGCCTTCAGTCCTTCTCTAATATCCAACTTTTCTAAGATGTGGTCCATTTGGGCATCGTCAATGCCCTCTGTTTCTGTGGTTGACGTGTCTGTAGGTGAAATCTTTAGAAGGGATCTTAACTGTGTGTGCACATACAGTGTGCTCCCATCCCAGGTGATGTTCAACTGCTTAACGAAGTTGTTCAGTTCTTCAACTTCACGAACTGTCGTAAGGGTGAGGTGAAGAAATTCAGAGAAGTCAACAAGCCCAGGTAATTCACGAAGAAAATCTCATTTGTAGAAATGGACAACCTTGCCTGTCATTGCACGCAACTTTTGAATGACGGTTACCTTTCTCTTGAAGTTATCATCTTGCATATATATACAACAGTTACATTTGAAGAGGAAGGTAGCTGTCATTCATGAGTTGCGGGCTGTCTGGACTTTATTGAGCGAGTTCATGAATGCGTACTCTCATTTTCCTTTTTTATGACCTTCATGCAGAATGAGAATGGATGGGTACGTTAGTAATATTTTTTGGCAGGCAGTGGCAGTCTTGCTTGTTTCATTGTCACATACAATTGATGAAACTTGTTTGTACGCCCGAAAAAGTATTTTTCTCTGATTTGCCCACTGTCTGAGCACCCGAAGGTAATGGAGCATGGGCTAGGATTCACCCACCTCGATTCTCTGCAACCAAGTTGCTCAGTAGGAAATGGAAGCCCTCAACTTGATGGCTGGCCTTGCCAATAACTTAAGCGGCCGGAGACGATGGCTAAAAACCAATACCTTCTCCCCACTTGACTCGGACAAGCCTAACAGATTAAGGAAGAAGTTTTCCTTCAGTCCTTGTCTAATATCCAACTTTTCTAAGATGTGGTCTATTCGGGCATCGTCAATGCCCTCTGTTTCTGTGGTTGACGTGTCTGTAGGTGAACTCTTTAGGAGGGATCTCAACTGTGCGTGCACATACAGTGTGCTCCCATCCCAGGTGATGTTCAACTGCTTAACGAAGTTGTTCAGTTCTTCAACTTCACGAACTGTCGTAAGGGTGAGGTGAAGAAATTCATAAAAGTCAACAAGCCCAGGCAATTCACGAAGAAAATGTCATTCATAGAAATGGACAACATTGCTTGCCATTGCACGCAACTTTTGAATGACGGTTACCATTCTCTTGGAGTTATCATCTTGCATATATATATACAGCAGTTACATTTCAAGAGGAAGGTAGCTGTCATTCATGAGTTGCGGGCTGTCTGGACTTGATTGAGCGTAGAAATGAAATGCGTACTCTCATTTGTCTTTTTTATGACCTTCGTGCAGAATGAGAATGGATGGGTACGTTAGTAATATTTGTTCGTAGGCAGTGGCAAACTTCTTCCTTAATCTGTTAGGCTTGTCCGAGTCAGGTGGGGAGAAGGTAGTGGTTTTCAGCCATCGTCTCCAGCCGCTTAAGTTGTTGGAAAGGCCAGCCATTAAGTTGAGGGCTTCAATTTCCTACTGAGCAACTTGGTTGCAGAGAATCGAGGTGGCTGCATCCTGGCCCATGCTCTATTACCTTCGGGTGCTCAAACAGTGGGCAGATCAGAGAAGAATACTTTTCCGGGCGTACAAGCAAGTTTCATCAATTGTATGTGACAGTGAAACAAGCAAGACTGCCACTGCCTGCCAACAAATATTACTAACGTACCCATCCATTCTCATTCTGCACGAAGGTCATAAAAAAGGACAAATGAGAGTACGCATTTCATGAACTCGCTCAATAAAGTCCAGACAGCCCGCAACTCATGAATGAAAGCTACATTCCTCTTCAAAAATAACTGCTGTATATATATGCAAGATGATAACTTCAAGAGAAAGGTAACCGTCATTCAAAAGTTGCATGCAATGGCAGGCAAGTTGTCCATTTCTACGAATGAGATTTTCTTCGTGAATTGCCTAGGCTTGTTGACTTTTATGAATTTCTTCACCTCACCCTTACGACAGTTCGTGAAGTTGAAGAACTGAACAATGTAGTTAAGAAGTTGGACATCACCTCGGATGGGAGCACACTGTATGTGCACGCACGGTTGAGATCCCTCCTAAAGAGTTCACCTACAGACACGTCAACCACAGAAACAGAGGGCATTGACGATGCCCGGATGGACCACATCTTAGAAAAGTTGGATATTAGACAAGGACTGAAGGCAAACTTCTTCCTTAATCTGTTAGGCTTGTCCGAGTCAGGTAGGGAGAAGGTATTGGTTTTCAGCCATCGTCTTCGGCCGCTTAAGTTGTTGGCAAGGCCAGTCATCAAGTTGAGGGCTTCAATTTCCTTGCTTGTTTCATTGTGACATACAATTGATGAAACTTGCTTGTACGGCCAGAAAAGTATTCTTCTCTGATATGCCCACTGTCTGACCACCCGAAGGTAATGGAGCATGGGCCAGGATGCAACCACCTCGATTCTCTGCAACCAAGTTGCTCAATAGGAAATTGAAGCCCTCAACTTGATGGATGGGGTTTCATCTGGTTTTTGTGCCTGGGATGAGCACCAATTTCTCTGACAGAAGAATCGTGTCCTGATTGTTTAACCCCGTCATGAAATAGTTTAGTTGCTTCTTTGTCCTTTGTAGTCGGGCCTTCATAAAAGTATGTGCGTGTAGTCCTTCAGCCCTAAATGAAAAACACAATGTAGTCCTTCCTCTTGAAGATTTGGGAAATTATGCATTTATCGCTTGTACACATAATTGTTTAAATTGTAAGCTGTGTGAACGAAATGCAAAATTTCCATGTGTGCCCTTTCTTTTGTCTGTTTCAAAATCTGTATATGTGTTGGGAAATTCTGCGTGTTGTTGTCTGTGTTTACGCAAAATTTTAAGGTTAACAGCCACATGTTGCAGCCGTTTGTTTGTGTTCCTGTAAATATTGATTGCAATACTTTGCAGGAGTTGTCGTCATTGCATCTGATGGATATTGGTCACCTCGCACCAACAATGTTAGTTTTCTCCTTAAAGACTTGCTACCAGTTGGTTTCGTACATATGTTTGTAAACAAACGAAATCCATCACCAAGGAATACGCTGATTTTTTTCCGGATCAATTCTTACAGCAGCCCTTGTACTTTTGTGTTTGTGTTATTTGTTTTGCACAAATTTTGAATGCCCTCGCTTTGCACCATCAATTTTGAACTTTTGTTTCCAAGGACTGAAGGCAAACTTCTTCCTTAATCTGTTAGGCTTGTTCGAGTCAGGTGGGGAGAAGGTATTGGTTTTCAGCCAACGTCTCCGGCCGCTTAAGTTGTTGGCAAGGCCAGTCATCAAGTTGAGGGCTTCAATTTCCTACTAAGCAACTTGGTTGCAGAGAATCAAGGTGGCTGCATCGTGGCCCATGCTCCATTACCTTCGGGTGCTCAAACAATGGACAGATCAGAGAAAAATACTTTTCCGGGCGTACAAACAAGTTTCATCAATTGTATGATATGGAAACAACAATGTCCCTACAAGCAATAAATGATCCTTAGAACGATAGTTATTTCACAGTGGACTGTCATTGAAAATTTGCAAGTAGTAAATGAAACAATACATTTCATTTTTGCTATCGTCAAATACATAGTGAAGAAGTTTTTGTTCCTCCGCCGATAACAACCCTTCGCTGTCCAACATGAAGTCTGATAAGACAATGGATGAGGTTGGTGTCGATTCAGTCCCGGATGTACGAAAGCTGTCTTATGCCGATTTCGGGGCCAACTTGACATTGACATAAAAACTTGCATATATATATATATATATGTATTCATATTTCACATTTAGTGATGATAAGCTTGACGATGCTTGCATGCAGCCAGCAATAATTCAAGGAAATGCAAGGGCCAGACAACACTCGACGAAAAATGGTGAGTGCCGAAATCTGTATTCTCTATAATACACTATGATAGAAACACATCGCTGGGTTGCTATCCACACGCTGTATTGAATGGTCGTAGTGGGGTTCTGATTGTTTCGCGTTTGTAGGATTGTAGCATGTAATAATGTCACCTTCCTATTGTTTTTGTAAATTTTAATTCGTTGTAAAAGTCCAGCTACGCTTTGTCGCTGACTTTTTACAGCAACTGTTATTTGTATTTGCAATCTTATTTAATTACCAACAATGCACGCGGATTGCGTTTGGCATAAAGTTGTAGTTACAGTAATTTTGGACTCATAGTTGTTACTTGTCCTGTACGTCTGTCAATTTCTTGGTTAAAGACTAGAAAGGAGATTGGGGAAAGGTCGAAGGCACTCCCTTTTGATAAGAAAAAGAAGTTTGCGGAAATGGCTAAGGCGAGCGCTGAGGAACACGGCAAAGTAGTACCATGTGCACCGAAGTCTGAAAAGGTCATTACGTACTTCATGTTTTCGTAAATGCATTTGGCTAGGTTCTGCTTTGCTGGCATTGTTGGTTGTATTTTTGTATTAATTTAAGGGTAAAAAATGTGCAGGGTAAAAGGCAACTCCGCATATCATTGAAGTCAATTGTTGAGCTAGTTAACCGGTTCAACGAAGCACAAAAGTAGGCAGTCATTGACATTGGGTGTATAGATCACGACTTGTGCGCATGGTTGGTACAGAACTTCGATCCTGACAGTAGTTCATTGAATGTTCATGGTTGTCAAGTCAGGCTCACGTGTAAGGCAGTTAATGTTTTATTGGGAATACGGTGTGAAGGCGATGACGTGTAGTTGGCTGGGTCATTAGAAGCATATCCCAATATCTACGATGAGGTTGGAGTTGTTAACGGAGTCATTCCTTTGAACAAGTTGAGACTTTATCTGACCGAGACTGCTGGTGCGGAGGACGAGTTTCGGCGAAAATTTGCGCTGTACGTGTTGGGGACCATGTTATGTCCTACCACAATGACCGGGTTGAAGCCATCGTTCATTCATGCCGTGAAGGACGTGAATCGTATACGAGCTTGTAATTGGGCAAAGTTGACACTGCAATTCCTTCAGAACGGTGTTCGCAAGTATAAAGGTCATCGCGGTGCAACTGGATGTGTTTTCCTGCTAATGGTATGCCAATAACTTGATTTTTTTTTTCCATTCCCCCCTTCATGTGTTTCATGCATTGTTCTGTCATGGTTCAACAAATTGGCCTTGATTGGGACATACAATGGTACCTGCTTTGTGAGTACGATAAACAACACTCTTCCTGACCAAGTATGGTACTTGCAGAAATATATTTTGTGTGACTACCATCATGAATTTAAGAACAAAGAGTACAGGGCAAAAAGTATGCCGAACCTCAATGGAGGAACCAATTAAAACTACGTTGCGAAGAGGGGAACATGTACATAAATTTTTTTTCTTGGTTTCATCAATAAAGTCCTTGGTGTGCTGTACATTTTTTTTCCCAAAAAACATTGCATGATATGTGCCTATAAAGTTGACAGCATCCTCAACAAAATCGGTATGCTATGTACGTTCCATTGCAAAATTGAGAATAATGAATGTCATTGTTACTGAATATAGTTCATTTTTGTGGGAAGAACAACTTAATTATGGTGTGCCCCTCAATGTCCACAGCTGTTGTACCTTGATTGTGTTTGTCTGAGCTCGACTACGACGCGGTCCACACCTCGGCTTCATGATTGGGGTGATACCCAAATACGGGAGACGCTGCGACGTATCAGAAGGAAGCAAAATTTCCCAACAATTGCGGTAAGCACTCCTACCACTATGCACATTTTACACCATCGACCCACTTGTCTTCAACATACAATGTCAGACTTCATTTATGCGTTTCTATGATTAGGTGGAGTTTGATTACAGTAACGCCGATGATGCTGACATGGATGCATGCCATGTTGAGAATCAACAAACAGGACAGTACAATGAAGTCTGTATGAGCAATTTGGAGTCCGACATTCGTGAACTGAAGGAAATGATGAAGCAAGTTCTCCACAACCAAACAGATTTAATGGAGATGTTGCGACATTTCGAAGGCAAGCAAGTTTTGGCAATGGCAAGGTAATACATCCAAGCATTACGCAATTTTCACACAGTTGAGCCACATCATTTGAAGATGGTTTGTAAGACTGAGTTCACGAATGTGTATGTATGATTAGGTGGAAGGCAATGATGTGTGTATCATTAACCTCTCCTCTAATGTTGCTCAACTGAAGGAAATGCTGAAGTAACTGCTTCAACGTTTCAGATTGGGCTGCAACGAACCGTTCACTGAACAAACCAATTTACGTGAACTGAAGCAAATGCTACACCACCTCATCGAAGGTATATTCTCTACACCGCAACCGGCAGGCGTGGCCAAATAGGGTGTGGACCTTGCTGTTCGAGTCGAGGCGCATGAGGATGGTGTGGTCAAACCATCTGACGAAATTAACCCAATGGAGTGTAATATTTCAGATGTACAAGGGGTGGATCACCAACAACAGATTTTGAAGGGAACCTTGGCAAGGGACAAAAGTCATTTGCATGATGGGCACAAGCTGAACATCGAAGAAGGTGGGGATAACAATAAGAAGGGAGGCCTTTAGTCAGGGGAAACATATGAAACTGAAGATAAATACAGTCCTGACCTTCAGTCAGTGGGCGTGAAGAACGTGGCGTGCGATGTGCATACTTCTCCTACTAAGCTTGGCAAACCATTGGGAGCAACTGGAATCGTTAGAAGAAGTGCAAAGGGAAGACGAAAAGGAAAAGGAAAAGGAAAAATGTGCGGAAGTGGAGTTCAAGCCACTGAGGTCGGGGATATGCAATTGTGCATCGATAGCAAAACAAATAGTGGAGTTGACGACAGCAGTTCACCTGTGGATGTTGATGGTGTGGACAACGTGAACAAGGTACAAATACTGCCTTTAATGCCCCACAAGTTGTGAATACCCAATTCATGCCCACATCAATAATGTGAATCAGTAATTTTACAATCATCTGTGTTGTATTGTACTAGTTGTCAAAGAATTGCATGTTTGCAGTTATGACTGCTGGCATATGTTTGTACACATTTCTAACAAACTCCGCACCAAACATCACAAGTTGGGAAAACTCTGAGGCTCACAGTTTTTACATCATTTCACGTTCTTTTTTATGACTACCGACCTTGTAATGTAAGTTTCAATATTTTTATGAAATGTGTACTGTTAGTTGGCTGTTTATTTTTGTAGGACTCGTTGACGATATTGGACAGCGAAGGGTTGTTATCGGCGGAAGAACAAAAACTTCTTCACTATGTATTTGACGATAGCAAAAATGAAATGTATTGTTTCATTTACTACTTGCAAATTTTCAATGACAGTCCACTGTGAAATAACTATCGTTCTAAGGATCATTTATTGCTTGTAGGGACATTGTTGTTTCCATGAATCTTCATGGACGGGCATGTGAAGTTGGCACCCGGCGTGACATGTGCACGCTCAAACCAGGGTCGTGGCTATCCGACACTGTAAGTGTTGGCTGCACAAATATGAATCTGCGTTTTTCAGTACCCCTAACTCAGAAACCTTTCTAATCAACTTGCCTTGTGTCTTGCATACAATGTTCTAGCCAATCAACTTGGTGGTGGTGCAATTGACTAATCGATAGAGGGATTTACATAATGACGGGAGGCACACTGATTGGTTCTTTCCCGTATATCTGTCGGTAAGTAAGTGTTTAAAGCTACGTTGTGTATTGTGTATGACATATTTTGACAAATGTTTCCGTCAATGACCTTTACGCATTACACATGCAGATTTTGATTCTAAATAAAGATATGCAACCTCTACACCATGAACATATCGTCGCATCATTTTTCGGACATGACAGATACACTGGTGCGATTGATGCATGCCAGAGGGTAATATCAATGTTCATCCCGTTATATTAAAACGAAAATATGAAAGCCATTACATGTTTGCATGGCCTCTAAACAAGGTCTGCCGTTGTGTTTTCGTGTAGATTTACGTGCCTTTCAATTACAGAGGAGTGCATTGGTTGTGCGTTAAAATTGATATGGTGGACCGTGTAGCCTACCTATTCGACTCAGTCCCATCCAACCGACCGAACAAAAGGAAGCTAAATGCAGCTAAAATTTTGGTATGTCCTTCTGGTGCATTTCTGAACACTACAAAAAACTTGAACATCCTTTACGTAAAACCAACTTCAACTTTGTGGAACAGGTTGAAACTATGCACGACTTGCTGCAACTACACTTTGGAAATGATTATGTTATAGACGTGTGTAGCTTCCACCGCTGCATGTTAGATGAGAGGCCAGTACAACAACTGGACGAGTAATCCACAATCCCTCCCTCACATTAATGTCTAAGCTGCATGACTGACTTAACGAACCTATTAAGTATTGACGACAACTGTAATGTGATATTATTTTTGTAGCACGTTTGACTGTGGGATGTTCGTCATCAAATTCATGCAGCAACCTGATTTAAGCCCCGGTCCACACAAGGTACATTCTACCGCTTAATTTCCATTTGTCAATCAAATCCTTCCTCGTACGTCCTCCAATTTTAACTGATTTGTCTTACGATTTTTGTGGACAAAGTTCGCTCCCTCTGTGCGTCATAAGTTGTTGGTTGACATCGTTATGGATGTCAATAATGCAAAGATCGCAGAGTACCGGGACTGCCTTCATATGAGCAATGCCACAAGCTAGGCCAGTGATGGGAATGGGCTGCCAGTACGCCACTAATTTGGGTGGCAATAGGACTTTAACTAATTTTTTATTCTTTGATTTCAATATGGATGTTAATTATGGGTCCCCAGTATTGTTTTTGCTGGACGATGTAAATATGGACCAACTGTAAACATGGATCAAACATGTCGACGTGGCTGCTGACTTAGTACTATTTTCTTTACGCATGTTTCTTGTTCGGATGAATGCGACTGTAACTGTATATAATTTACGGCTGCTTTTGTTACCGAAGTTAATTTATAATTTAATTACAAAAAAGGGAAAATTAATTTTCAAAAATGAAAGAAACCACATTATGAATGAAAACTCAATACTCTTCGTAGGTAAGTTATATATCAGCCCATTAGCACATATGACACCAGCCAAACAAAAACTTTCATGGCTTACAGGGAAGGATAAAAAAAAAAATAAATCAAATCTACATATCTGCTGCATCATCAGCAGCGTCTTCTGAAGAGTTGTCCGTACTGTCTGACTGACTGTCCTCATCCATTGTCTTATCAGACTTCGCTCCGTCCGCCGCCAATTTGTCATCGGTCAGCCAATCAACGTTCTGCTTGATAGCGCCGACTTGCCGCTCCAAACTTGACAACCGTGTGTCCACTTCATTCAGCCTTTCGTAGATAGCTTGCAACTGCTGGAATACAGGAGCAACATGAGCTTCAACAATAGCTTCAATCTTGTTCGAATCGGACATTTTGTAGGAATATGTGTATGGTTTATTTTACTGACTACTTTTTTAAAGGAATGTACAGATTCATAATATTACACAACACTATGCTGTAAGTATTTGTAATATATGGTACATGACTTGTATGTTTGCAGAAGACCTCATGCATTGTGACATACATCGTATTAATTTCTCAAACTGGCCGAATTCATCTTGCAAAAATTCGTTCCTTCTTGCATGCACCAAGTCATCCGTTCAGTACCCCTGATCGTCCATTATTTGGCATTTCCAACACACATGCATTGTACCTTCCATCAGTACTAGCCCACTGTCATTGATTTCCACACCCACAGTTCATCATACAGTCACATTCGTCATTTGTATTTGTGCCCCAATAACACTCAGATCGAGATCACAACCCGTGATCTTGA